CCTTGAATTCACTAGATATGCTTGGGACAATACTTCCTTCTCTGAGCTCGATGTTGGTTGCCCTTTTCCTTTCTAAGCGCTGGGGCGTCCAGTGCAAGAGTATGCCTTCCGAAACCAATTTCGACGTTAAAATATGATTCCACTTCAGTGAAATGCATGCAGCGCCACTCATCACATTCACTTTCGATGGATTCAGCCTCATGACAGTTTAGATTTTTCTCGATTCCGACTTCTAAACAACTCAGTTCAAGGGTATGCCTCGTCTCACTCAGAGGAAGGTGCCACGATTAATTGGAGTTCAAAGAAGAGAAAATACATCTACATAAAGAGAGGAGAATGAAGGAAGCAGAGGGAGTAAGGGAGTAGAGGGAGCAGAATGAGGCATGTTTTGTTGCGAAGCCGCTCGATAGAGCCTTACTCGCGACGGTAAGCTCTCTTCGTGGCTACCCATCCCCCACCGATTGAATATACCCTCGTTATCGGACTCTAGCCGTTTTAGCAGAGAGGCAGAACAACGTTTGCATTATGACGTCAGCACCGAGGTCCAAGAAGGGGAAATATTCCCAGTGGAAAGGGCAGGCGGCTCACAGAAAGATGAGAGCTATGCGGGTTCCGCAGCGAAAGGTGGGCCTCCAGCGCCTAGCAAGGCCAAATCGGCGCCGCTCGCGCCGTTGCCCGCCCACCCCTCTGGCAGAGGGAACGTTGGCGTTGATGACATCACCGATGAGACAGGCCCAAGGCGCAAATCGATGAGCAAAAAATGGGTCCTACTTCTCGGGTTCTAAACCATTTTGCTTTGTTCAAAGGCACGCTCCGGGATTAGGCGGCTCGCCTGTTCCATCCCGGGGGTAGTAGACAGGCGGACAAGCGTTGATGTCGCGCCCCTTTTGCGGCTTGAAAGTGCGCGACAAAGGCGCAAGGAGCTCGTCCGACCCGCAACTCACACCTTCGTCCGCAAGCCCCACCCTCCGCTGTCGGTTGCCACGTGGCGCTGCTTGAAAAGCGCGCGGCGCATTGAGGCAGCGGTTGCATTGATCAATGTCATTGGCACTGGAGCAAGGATCGTGAAACTCGTCCAACACGCCCCTCCTCTGGCCCAAGGTAGATTGCGGCTGGAAGAGAAGAGGTTCGTATTTAGGACGTGATCGGGGGTTTCCTTTGCTTTCTTTCCTTTTCCAGAACACCTCACACCTCTAGATTCATAACGGAACGCTTTTCCACACACATTTCATCCCGAAGCTTGCCTTTACATTAATTCATCCCAGCTTCAGTGACCAGCTCTACCTTTGATTTCGAGTGGGCTGCCTCTTAACCCTTAACTCCGTAGAACCGGAATCGGAAAACAACGAGCATATTGTTCATAGCGTTTTGGTTTTTGATTAGCCATGAGAAAAGGAACAAAAAAATTGCGGGAACCCGGAAAGAGCCAGATTTAAAGGCACATTCCACGACTAACTTGGGGTGACTTTCCTGCGCGCTAACGAATGCTGAGGTGCGACGTCATTCATGGTTGGAGAAAAAAAGAGAGAAATTGCCTAAAACACTCAAAACAGATGTCTCACTTCTCGGCTTTGAAGTAATATGCGACGAAGAACCACTGAGTGTCACGACGGAGGGCACAGTGGATGAGGAAGATATAGATCTGCCGCGAAGACCTTTCGGCAGTGAGCTATGGCAGCAGAATCTAACAGAACGAGTGAAAAAACCCTAAATCGCTTGCCCAAACACTTTTAGAGCGCCGAGTACACATCTTGATTCGGTGAGACCTTACTTCATTAAAGGGGATTGATCACAACCTGAGGTCGATTGGTAATGGCCTTTAGGCCCATCAGGTTGGTCAGCCAACTACTATGGAAGTACTGGTAGAAGGTCCAATCGCTCATCCTACTGCTCAAGAAGCTCAGTTCATTCGCTTTTCGACTTTGCTTCTTCCATTTTCCCTTACTCTTCTCTCCGTTACTATGGACAATACCATTTTATTTCCTTCATTTGCTATCACCTATTTATGCAAAATTTATTTTACAACCCTTTTTCAACAAGTGTACACAATGTTTCAATTGAAAATATACTAACTAACTTATACATCGCATAAATCATGCTCTCTACTTAAATCCCTATTCAAAAAGACCGTACAAGAGAATCAAATGAAGGTGGAGGCAACATTCCACAGCAATCCAAGTCCGGTACCTACTTTCCAGGGACTAGGATCTATACCCTCGGTCAGGCCTGCGAATGAAATCCCTGTTAGCCTCACTTTTTTCCAACCAGAATTGCCCAAGAGAGGCGTTTTTCTAGAGTATATGTGCATATGAAATAAAAGTGTGCTGAACATAAACAGTTATTTATAGAAAAAAACAAAAGGCTGTGAAGGTTCAACGTGAGGCCCCTGATCTTCCTACGCAGAAGGTTCCTACTATGCCAACGTGTTCGTCAGTGAGAAGAATAACACATCCTTTTTGCCTTGTTTCTGCTTGAATTGATGTGGTTCAATGGCCTAAATTGCATATTTTCAGAAAATCGAAACATGCTCAAAAAAGTACTTCATCGCTTGCCTTCAGTATGGCTGCCAGTTTCGTCACTATTCGCCTTTGTAATATACCACACTTCTGCCTTGAATCTTCCAGCACTCCTTCGTTGTTAATATGCGGCTATAACGTCGGTAGTATATTTCGTGACTGTTTGCTTCATTCCAGCTCCCCTGGTACTACTGAAAGCGTTCAGTTAGGCGAATAAAATATTTCTTGTATTATATTTCATTCATATTTCAAAATCCCTTACAGTGGCGTCTCGACCTTCGCCCTCTTCGCATCGTTCGCCACTTCGGTTCCTGAGGTTTCCGGCTCTGCTGGTCGCTTCTTGCCTACTCCGCTTCCGCCAGGCTCTCCACCATTCACGACGTCTTTCTTCTGAATATTCCAGCTTCTTATCAATGTCAATCTGATAGCCTTTGATAAATCCACCTTGCCAGAGATATGAGCTGATTATACGGGCGAAAATTTGAAGGCAGAAATAAAGGTGAAGGTAAAAAAAATTGGAAAGCGGAACCAAACCCTCCACCTACCCCCAGAGGTTACGGAGATCTCAGATAAAAGAGGATATAACACTGATGCACCTTGCTCAACCAGCGATCCTGATAGCGACTGTCTATCAAGATATTAATACAAGTACTTACAGTTCGAAGCGATCCCGCTTTAATCTTAGGAAGTAAAAATCAAAAGTATCATAGAAACTGAAGTATCAATTCTACCTGGCATTCACATAAATGTACTAAAGAAAATGTCGGTATCGGCAATCGGTAAACAAAAATGAACACATGTAAACAATTACTTACCGGCATAAAAACAACGGAGTCAATCTTCTCCTTATCTGGATCATCAGTGTCGGATCCGGAAGAATCTTAAAATGGAAATCATAAAATATGAAAGAAGGCGCAAAAATACATCGAAACAATTTTGATCGATGAAATTTTCGTAATCTACCTCTCTCTTCGATGTCCAGATGCTCCTTTTTCCTATCGCTCTCGGTGTGAAGCAGTTTCTTCGCTGGAAAAATTCAATGTATCTGATGAATCTATGTAATACCTCATAAAAGCGACTTGCTGGAGAACAGAAAAGAATTAGAGGAAAAATTTGGAAAAATTGATCGCTGACTATCTTTGAGGCACTTACAGTGATTCTGATCCCGAATAAGACATAGAACATTAGGGCTGGCGCCATCTTGCACCGATAAGCCAAAGTTGTTTAGGATAGGGCAATAACTACATATTGCCCAAAGCGACTACAGTGATATGTACCAGAGGGTAAGTAAAAATTGGACATTAAACAATCACTTACTCAAATCCTCTTCATCGCTGTCCGTCTCCTCGTCCGATTCCATCATCTTCTTGAGACCAACTTCATCACCAACACCGACCAGTTGTTTTTCGATCTTCTCATCGCCAGGAACGATTTCTCGCCTATAATACAACATGTGTTTTGCGTTCACCATAAAATCCTGCTCACATTTCAAAAAATCTGAGGAGAACAGCTTTGAAAGTTCATCAGGACAAGAAATATGCTTATGGCGGCGAGTAGCCTGCAACTGAAGTGAAACTGGAAAAATAGAAGGAGAGCGAAGTATTTTCCCACCAAAACGTCCGGTTCCCTCACGCCGAAATCATTATCAAACGTAATATACACCCAAACTACAACAAATAAATGAAAAAAAACTTAAGTAAATCGATGGGTAATAACAAATAAAAAATAAACATGTAAATAAATAAGATAAGCAAGCGCAATTCTCAACGATCAGACATTCAACTGCTGAAGCAGATCCTCTGTAAAAAATGCTCATGTTAAAGGGAAGAATGGGGAGGAATGATGAGGATGAAGGATACAAACCGTCACTTTTCTAAATTACCGACCAGAAAATCTTCGATTGAAGAAGAAAAAAGTTTTGTTTTGCCTTTTTTTTCTCAAAATAAAAAGTGAAGCAATACCTCACAACCAGTGATTCCAAATTCAATTCCAATGGCAATTTCCGCCACACATTTCACTGTTCCTTTTATTCCATCATATGGTAACCTGGTTCCTTTATTTCCATCTAACACCTGTCGTTAAAAGGGCCAAATGTGGGTTATGCTTATATATTTCTGTGTCTGCGCCGACGATTACTTTTAAAAGCGAGGTATGAGCCTAGAGGTGTGTGGGTGTGTGCTACCAGACCGTCTGCCTATCAAGATCCGCTGGACAAGACTCTTCCTGGGACAAGACCTTCTCGGACAAGACCTCTGCCGAGACGATCGACGCGGCCTCATGTGCGATTAGGACAAGACCGAGAACTCGTCAGTTAAAAGGCTCAGTGTGAACAAATTCGATATTATCAACCCTAATTTCCTTCAGGTAATCGTGGCAAGTGGAGTTCGAGAACAGATCACAAGAAAAAGGCGGGCGAGACCACAGGGGTAAACTTCCAGAGGAAGGCGCAGAGAACCACCACAACACCATCTGGCCTTCATGCTAATCTGCTCTAATCGCGAAAGCAGTTCCACCCTTGTCACTTGATTTTTCTATACCCCATTTACTCGTTATTAGACTTATGTGGGGATGAAAGTGTTAAACTGAACATCCCGAGTGGGTGACACTGACGCGAGTAACCTGCGAAGGCTGATCGAGCATTCGATTTCCTCCTAGAAGTTGAGGCCCTAGGAAATCGATCAGTGTCGACCACTTTGTTCTTTCTTTACTTTTTGGATTCTAAGGCACTGAGGCGCAATCGCACGGTCCTTTGGATTAAATCCTGAACCATCAATCAAAGCTTCTACCCAACTTAGCCTTAGATCTTAGCTTTGAGAACTTATTCTTAGCTTTGAGAATTCCAAGTGCTTCTTGTTGTACAAAGTCCTAACCAGAGCATTGACAGGGGCCACAATTCATTGCATTTCATTCCGAAACGTATTCATGTGTTTCTACAATACGAATACATATCAGGTGCGCGGCGCACTGTAGAGGGAGCGATCAACAGCAATCACCTCACCTTCTATCCCATGATTTCTAAAGATGCGTTATGTCCTTGACATCGTTGTCCTCGTGGCTAATGAAGACTCTGATCAGAGATCCATTGATCATAAATCCATTTATCACCGATCAATATCGACCAAGGACCTTGCTCTGACGTGCGATAACGAAAATCAACGAGTACAGGACCGGTGAGTTCCGAACAGCAAAGTACACCCACCACATCGTCATCAGTCGATCGTCATTCATTTCAATTGCTATGAATTTTCCCATTAAAATCACTTTTTCACAGCGTTCACTGCAATGACGAGTGCCATCTCTCCCACTTCTTCTTCCTTTCATTTTTTGCTCTTGTTCGTAATCGATTTTGTTCATCATTCTTTGTGGCGAGACACAAAAGCTCGTTCTCTGTGATCAATGATAACAACTCTTTCTAAAAACATGTTCTTGTGTACGTGACTCGGCACTTCAAACTGTTCCAATGATCGCGCCGTTACGAAGGTTTCAATCTTTCTTGAACGCCTAGTCAACCTTTCCGTTAAAGATTGATTCCATTGGGTGGTCGTTTTTCGCTGCATTAAG